ACGATATAGGAAGGTTAGGCCCTTTGAACTTCAGAGCGCATTAACGCATAACCATTAACAATCGAAATGAAATTTGTCTGAGTGGCGTAACGGAGCTATTAACCAGTTTGTCCTGCGACACTGTCAACCGTGACAAAAGATACAAATACTGCGTGCACTGTAAAAGCCTCATCGTTTCTGTTCCCAGAAAACTATTAAAACGTTAGTATGTGTTGGTTCAGAAAGACCTAGTAACGGCCGCTATCCACTTCGACACCATTCGAAGTTCACCATTCTAAAGCCATGTGGCGTAGTCAATTTTGAACTTCGCAGGTGCCGGGTTCGAATCTGCTGAACGAACGTTTGTGTAAACCACAAATTCCTTTCGGCAAAGAATCAACCCCACACTGCTTAAGTGAAACCAGCTGAGAAGCAGATCCGTCAGTAAGTCCGTGACTTATGAATAACAGAATCAGCACGGCGTTCTGGTTTGGTCTTGCCATAATGGACGAGGTTCACGACCAAGCTGTCTGATGCGAGGCCTCTAGTGACTGTACTTCGCCTTGAGCCACTGGATAATTTGCTATACAATGCAATAATCAGCAAAAGGTGTAACCTCGAGTTCAGTTCTTCAGCAGGTTCATGCGCTACAGCTCAAAATGTCGGTAGTTCTCTAGCCCTTGGGCAAACGACTGCTTTCCGCTGTATATAATTATACCGTTCTTATGGCGTATACAACAAAACCGTTACAGGAAATCTGAAAGTATGACTGAAAGCAAAATGCATGACAGTACATTTCTTCCCCACGCCCAAGAAAAACAATATGTACATTCCGCCATTTACCCCTGCAACGAAAGACGCCAACTGCACTTGAAGTACACTAAGGACGAAATTTGACATAGATACGTAATTCAACAGTCATTTCAAAATTCGAAATCTATTCAGCAAGCATAAAATTTTCAAGCAAACAAGACTCCAAAATTTACTGCTTAACAAAACAATGTAATGAAAAGTTACTAAATAATGATGAGTTGAAATAGCACATGAGTAAGTAAATCAGATCAGCAACTGCCATCAACAACTTGTATAGAAGCCCAACAACCTTTGTTTAGGAGTGAACAAAACAATTCTGTCGTGTCTGCATCATTGCTAATGAGTTATTCATTCGCATGTCACTTCGACGTTTCTTCGCAGGACATTCGTCGTCCCGGCCGTCCACCGATATCAAATCATGGTACAACGGATTGTGTATTTTCAAGCATTTTGCTGAAGCCTGAAAAATTGTATAACGGCTTCACAAATTAACCAAGCCAGAAACATCTACAAACCTTCCGAAGTGCCTGACGTCGATACATCGGCATCAGAGATTTGAAGTGTCTCCGCGCAACCCGATTTACGTCACACAACTCCAACTTAACGATGTCTTCAATGATGCGTCGCGAGCTATTCAAACAAACTTTGTTCAAGTCCATCTTCAGACCGCTGTTGTCTTTTCGAAACTTTGAATCTTTTCCTTTCGCTCCACTGTTTCTCAAGTCATAAGACCTCTTCTGCCGCCAAGGTTTATGCGGAGGACCAGCAGAAGTTTCGGGCGTTAAGTTTAAAATGGGAACCGGCTTACGGTTGACGTGAAGTTCATTCTGTTCTACTACAGAAACAGGTCTGTAAGGTGTAGCAAACAACTCTGAATTATGCATCTTGCTAGGTTGAGCGCTTTAAATTCATTAGTAGTAATTCTGCAGCCAAAGGACGGCGAAAACAATGTGCGACTACTGTGGAATGACCTTTCAAATCAAGTTTGCTCCTGAAAATCACATTATTTCTAGAATCTCGATTTCGTACTTTACAATTTTTTGAAGATGGTTGTCGAAGCTTAAAACCTTACCAAGTTTAAAGTTAATAAAAAACTGCATCTGAAAATAAACAGAAGAATAAAATTGAAGATAAAATGAATTATCAGTACGACAATTATAATTCATCAAAAGTCGGCCTGCTGTCTCGTGTCAACAATAAAGTCAGGTCAAGGCGATGCGCAAATCACGTTGCTTTTCAAGCAGTGCATATTCGATTCAGCACTGTTTTTCTTTCATAATATTTTTTTCTATTGTTCTTCGTATTTCGTAAGGCTGTCCGTTCACATGAGAAACTCAGATGGGAAATAAATCTTAGCTAAACGGCTGAAAATGTTAAATTTCCACCCAAACATTATCCGTTAAGTCAGATAATGCAAAATAATGTTTAAACAAGGCTTAAAAATTGTTCATATGATTATATTGTTTAATTAAAAGATAAGCAACTAAAATTTGTTAGATAACAGTCTCTTGAAGCGGGTTCCATGCTTAACTGAGCATTTATCATTTCTTTGCGTAAAATCACTTTGGAAATGTTTTTTAACAGTGCTAATTGCTTTATCTGTTTTGGAGTCGGACACTTATCATGCTGTTTCAGAGAAAGTTATCTAACAAATTTTGAACAATGTAAATATAAGTGACAGTAGAACTAATACGGACTATACACGACCATTAATTAACATGCCATAGCCAATCAGACAAATTTTTTAATGTGAATGAACTGAAATTTTTGCGACATGCATGCGTTTAGAAACCATAAACTCGAGTAGAAAAATCAACTGCCTAGAGAACACTGGAAAAATTGCAGAATGGGAAGTGATCCAGGAAAATGACGGTGCGTTGTTTACTTAACGCTATGTCAGTCTACATAAATCGATTCTGCTTTGAATATACTTTGGCTTTTTGAGCTCTCGTTGCATTTTTATTTAACTATTTAACTGTACGTAACTTTCGCACATCTAGGAGCAATTAGCAGTTTTTATGATATAATTTTACAATAAGTCTATCAAGTGGACAAATCGTTGTCCGCTCGCAGCTCTACTATCGCATTGTCAGATACCCCATATTTTTCAGATTGCCTGCTAATTTTGCAAATGACCAACACATTTGGGCGACATGCAACTGTCTTCAATCTGTGAAAATACCCGCGGCATCTGATCTCGTCTTCACCACAAAACCAAAGTCAGTGGCATATCTCAATGAAATTTGCAGATGAAAATTTTGTGGCGTCTGATGGCCATGAGGTAATATATACTTATGCACTACTCGCTTATTCTGTTTTATATACCATGATATTTCTTAATTATGGCGTTATTATGCGGAAAAACAGCAAAAAACTCGGTTTAACACTACACAACGCAAAAGATAGTAGTTTGGCTGGCCAATATCGACTTTTCGTCCCATGTTTTACGGGTCTTCTTCAAGATAGGTGGTTGGTAGAGGTTTGCGAATGTGGCTGGTCGTCCACAGCAACTATCTGTTTCCTTGCCAAGGGTAGGTTTACCGTTCTTGCTACTGCTTAAAAAGTTTATAGGCGACAGAGGCAATAAAGTTCCTCCAATCCCCGCACAGCTTGTATACTTTGTCATGCTAGACGCTTCAGCAAAATTACATTATTGATGCCTCTTTTATCCTCCTATGTAGCCAATGTCTCTTTTTCATGATGCCGTTACACTCAACCATCGGCGGGAATGTATTTGTTTGGCTATATGCTACAAAATTCCGGAAATCTTCCAGAATTGCTCCTTGACTTTGCTGTGAGCGAGACTTTATCTTCTTCCTGGGTACTTCGTTATCATCTGTCACTCACACTCGTCCGCCATAGTCCATTTTCCCCACGTTGTCAGGTAGGTCTTTGATCTGCACATGACTGCGCTCCCTGTTTCTCCTATGTTATATTTCCCGCAATTAAATTGTAATGTATAAATGTAGCCTAGAGAGATATTATTCTCAGAATTATTTAGCAAAGCATGAAATTTTTTAGAGCATTTATTACATTTAGTGTTAAGTAATCTTTGTAGCTTCTCACTAAATATTTTATCACTCCGTAGAATTAAGTAAGGTTTATTACTTAAAACATTATTTTTGACCTTATTAGTGTTACGAGCAGATTTTATGTGACTTGTTCTGCGGTTTGTGATGTTATTAACAAACTTACCCAGATAATGCTTGTCATTGCATAAGTGTAATTTGATATTCTTTATTTCTTCTTTAATAAATTCTTTAATGCACCGCTTCAGGAATCTATCTGTCAATGCTGTAGCTACAGAACGTTTACTGTTAAAATAATCTGGTGGTTTCAATCTTGGAAATTTGTCAGTGTTAGTAGGTTTGCAGTAAGTTTTAGTTTTATGGCAGTTACTAGCGTTAATTATTGAGGCATCAAGAAATGGTAGACTGGAGTCATTTTTTCTTTGAACTGTTAACTCGATATTTGGAGGGAATAGGCTATTGATGTGGTCTGGTACCTTGTTTTCGTCACTACTTAGATACATCTTTTGAAGACTACATCTGGGTTCTTGTCTCCAGAGCCATATTATCAGTGTTTCATGAAAATTTTTGCAAGGATAGAAGAAAACGAATTACCCATGGGTGCTCCTTTAGTTTGTTTGAAGAAATCACGTTCGAAGGAAAAATAATTCGCCTTTGTAATGCAGAAAGTTATAAGCTCGAAGCTAAAGTTAACAGAAAGGTCAGTCGTTATAAGGCAGCCATTCCCTTGAAAAAGTTTACCAGTTATTTTAATAGTAAGATTAACAATACGTTAGTAAACGAGTCCTTAACGTATTAACTCATCATGATGTTACCTACTGGGGGCTACATCCTTTCAGCTTTTTGCAAAATTTCTGGGAGTTTCTGCTGCAAGATGGGTTACTACCATTTAACAATCCGAGTATTTTAGCGATCAGTTTCGAAACCTCTGCGAAAGAAACAGTTCATAGTAGAGACAACAGGTCTGAAGGGAATATTAGGCTCGTGTATTTTATTTAGGCAATAAAAGTACGCTACCAGGTGGTTGCATGAATCTCTCTTAAAACAAGTAATAAATTCCAAACGAATGAAAAGGTTAAAAATATATGTTGATGAACAGTAGACCGAAAGAAACTAATCAAGTGATATTGTTTCTCGAAACGATCATGAAAAATATTGCTCTGTTTATTGTGTATACAGTAATACACTGGCTTACATTAGTTCGACTTACGTCGACTTGTGCTTACGTTGTCTGTATATTTTAAATAATAAATGAACAAAAGTTATAATCAGAATGGTACATTTACTTGGCAACCCTACACGATGAACGAGTACGCAAAAGTGTGTCCGAGTATTTATGACTTTCTCCCACCTACGTCAGCGTGGTAGCAAGGTCAGTCAGTGCATATAAGTTGTATCCGTGTAGAGTGTGCAGTGTGTCTACGTCGTAGAGTCAGGCCAATGTAAATTTCGAACGGCTACCAAATTTTACTTATTTGGTTTTCAAAAAGAAACCAACCAGTGTCTTCGTCGTTAACTAAAGAAAGAAAAACGATGACTAGAAATCAAACGGGAAATTATATACTTTTCGAAAACGGATTCAAAGTCTGCGAAGTGGCTATGAAAATGAACTTTTCGTAAATCATTGTGAGGACAAAGAAAAATAATCAAGGACAAGGAAAGGATTCTCGCAGAAGTGAAGAATGCCTGATCAGTCAATTCAATTGTTGTTCGAAAACGACATGGCCTTGTTTCTAAAATGGGGACTTTACTAAAAATTTAGTGTAATAACCAAGTCAGAGTAAACAGTTATCCTGTAGATCATAATATTGTATGCAACGAAGCCAAGCAGATTTTTCAAATGCTGAAGGAGAAATCTGGAAATATCGAGAAGGATGAAACTTTCTTACTCAGCAACGCCCCGTTCAACAGATTAAAGTAGCACTGTGATTGACACAGCATTGCAAAAACCGGAGAATCGGCGGCTGCCGCTATGGAAATCGCTTTTCTTGCATCGAAAAACTGAAGAGGATGATAGAGATTAAACAGTATAGTTCCAAGGGCATTTTTTATGTTGACGAAACTGTGCTGTTCGGGAAAAAGATGTTTCGAAGAGCGTTTATACCCCGCGAGGAAAAAACGTTATCTGAACTTAAAATGACAAAAGATCGGCTCACTGCAATAATTGGTTGGAATACTGCCTTTGGTTGCAAATTGATGTTACTGGCTTATCAGGCCAAGAATCCTAGATCTCTGAAAAAATAAGTCCAAAACTAGCCTTCCAGTGATATGGAAATCTAATCCTAATGACATGGGTCACTGTTTCTGTCTTTGAAAGCTGGTTTAGTCACTATTTCATCCCTGAGGCCGACGAAAATTGCAGCCTTCAAAACTTACCTTTCAAAGTGAGGCTAATTCTTGAAAGTGCTCCAGGGCACTCTACTGGACTTAGATCCGGGAGACAAAGTTGTGTTTTTGCTCAAGACGCAACAAATTTGATTCAACCAATGGACCAGGGTGTGATCAAAACGTTTAAGGCTTACTACACCCGACGATCCTTTGTCTATTTCAATGCAGAGATGAAGCAGAAAAATGAAATAACTCTAAAAAATTATTAGTAGGATTTTAATGTTCTAATTGCAGTGAGAATCACAGGAGATTCGTAGGCTGAAGTGTGCAATAGAACCATGAACGGCGTATGGAAAAAGCTTCAAAATTCTTATTTAGTCAAAATTTGATCACGGCTGCAGAAATTAAACACTTTGCTGAAGCAACAGAAGTGATCGATCTTATTTCACAGCACTGTTTAGAAATTGACTCTGAAAATTTCTCGGAGCTATTGACTCACATGAGGAAGAGCTCACAGTAAATGATACTGTAGAAACTATAACCATAGTCAAGTCCGTTTAAGAGGCTGAACTGGAACGGATCATCACGATGACAGTCTGAAGGATAACCGAAGGCCTTTGACTGATAGAGGCCGGTCTGAATGTTCTAGAAGAAATCGATTCTAAAGAAGTCCGAACAGGAACTGTTAGAAAAAACATAAAGAAAGCGCTGGCTGTTACAAAGAAATTTTATCGTAGAAACAATTTTTTACCCTGCTAGAAGTTTACTGTTGGACTTTTTAAAGTCACTTCATCTAGCTAAAACTGTTGCATCTTCATGTAATTTTACTTATTGTGTATTTTTGAAGCAAAAACAATTCGTCCACAATTATTGTATTTTTATTGTTCGAAACTGATCGTCAAGAACTAATGATGGCACTTTTTAATCTCTACTTAAGTCGGAGACTGTGGAATGACCCACGACGTAACTGAAGAACTACTGTATTTTTTATGCCTGTCGTCTCCAAACGAGAAATCTGCTGCAAACAATCATTTCCTTTTCGTTAAAGAAGACCTGTGAGGCACGAATCGAAATGCCTGCATTAGTATGTTACCTGAGTTGTTTTACTGAACCATGTGCCGTTTTGTTTCACAACGCGGTTCTGACATCAAGCGATTTTCACACAGTTGGCATGTTCTGTTTTAGCTTTTCTTATTTGATCTAGATCTGTTGGAAGTGAAGCTTTGTTACGTTACTTTGTCGCTATATAGTTTTACCACCATTTTTTACGTACTGCTGGGAGTTAGTATGAATGTTAAATTACAACACCCAAGTTTCTGCGCTTGCTACGGTGCTATGCTGTGTGTCGGCTATTCTACCATAGAACGTCTAGAAGGCAGTCAGTTTTAGCGTTCAGATATCTCGATAATTCTCGTTAATTCTCCATCAGGATGGTTAATAACGAATTTTCAGCGGTCATACTCTTTGCAAAATGGCTGTCTTTTCAAACCAAGCTTGGGCCGTCATTATTGCTATATCACATAAGCCCATTACATATCACAAAATCAAATGACTGAGTGTTGGCGATTGCTATGCAGATAAATGGGAAGGGTAAGAAACTTACTTGTCAGTTTATTAGCTTAGCTCTTTCTTCCCTGTAGTCATTTCTCTTGTTGCATTTGCACAGATGTGCAACAATATTAATTTGCAAAATCTAAATTGCATATTTTCTATAAACTCTTGACAGATCCTTTGCCAGGGCAACTATGCAAAGCCTCCGCGACCGTTGCTTTTGACTTCTTGTAACAATTGAAATTTCTTTAAAAAGTTTTTTCTTTGATTTATAATCAAAAGCTAGTTATAACGATAGATATCATAACACGTACTATGTACGTACAGTGTTAACCGTAACTTGCGCAGCATAGCTCACCGCAAAACTTGGTACTTAACTTGGAACACACTCTACAACAGAACAAACAAATAATTTGGAGTATTATCACACTGAACTACAGCGTAAGCTGTGACTGAACTTCATACAGCGTATTCGCCGAGTCTTGCAGC